CACAGAACTCAGAACCAAACTGCTTAACTGAACATCAACTGTCTTCATCAACTGTTAAATCTCTGTCACTCCTGATAGACATACATATTCTCCACACAGCCTCACTTCCAAAACCCCTCCCCCTCTCTGTCACTCACCAATCACACCACTTGCCTGTTTCAACCACTCTAGACTATCATACAGGCATGCAACCAAACTTTTAAAGACACACACACAGTTAAACATGAAATCATTACAGGGACCATCTCAGCCAGCTGAATGCTGTGCCCAGAACTAAATCCCAAGTTTCCCTTGGAGACTCGCATCCTTGCTTCTGTATCTGCTTCAAGAAGGAGGGACTTATCTAAAGCATACACAGTGGTCATTGGTATTAGCTTTACACAATTACTTTGTTATAAAACCCTACAACAGTTTCATAAGGAATATAAGAGGTGTTACGACTCCTATAATGCTAATTGGAGCAGGCAGGGAAGGCCAGAAGGGAGCAGCTTGTTTTCAGCCACTTAGCAAATTTATAGTGGAGATTAATCAGATTTCTTGAAAGGCAGATGAGTTTTATTCACTAGGAAGTGTTTCCCCAGTACCAATTGGTTTAACCTTTAAAGTCACATGTTACAAAAGGTTAAGTGAAAAAGAAAAACTGTGCAAAAAAAAGATATTCCAAGAAGAACAAAGTGCTTATTGACGCCTGTGTTCTGGAAGCCTCAGCTAACTCCTTTGTCCTGCAGATTAATGCTGGGCCGCTGGGCCATTGATTCCGAGAGGCTGCCGCTCTGCCTGCTCCTTGTACAACCTCTCATATTGCCACAGTCAATGGGGGATCCAGCTCTCGGGCTCTTGCCTCCAGGCAGAACATATGCTCCATTCTAACCCAACGCAAACTGGCCTGTTTGGGGTGGAATCATTAATAGACATAAAGCTGTCACCTGCCTCTAGATAACGGGAGGAGGGGGACAGAACCAAAACATTTTGCCAGTAATTATTCCAGGCACAAATTATGCAATCTAATTTCTTAGAGGAGTCTAATTAAATACACTTTTGCCACACGCCAACCAAGACAAAAAGAACCATTATTATGTCTAGGACTCTCACAGTGTGGTTTCGGCAACCATGCCAAAGTGGTCAAAACCAGCAGTGAAATTATTTAGAAGTCTCCCGAAGGAGTGACAATTCAAACTGAGAAGTAAAGACTTTTGAAATGGGCTGGCCTCACTTACTCTATTATCAGAGGAAGGCCCACGTAAGATGCATGTGGCCAGGGCATTTAACAAAGACATTTTCCAGATTTAACAGAGGGAAGCCCCATGATGCTGATTCAAGTGGTAAACAATTGTTTCATGTGCCAGAGTCTTGGAAACATCTGATAGCAGAAGCACTTTTTCTGAATTAAAATTTGACAAACAATTAGGAGGCTTTTGGAGTAAGAATCACCCATCTTCAGAGAAGCCTGCCCTCACTTTCCTCCTAATTTGCTGGCCCAGGGAAATGCATACATGCAGAATTGTAACAGGCAGCGTCCTCTGAATGTGGGTAATCTAGTTTCATCTGGGTATGGTTCAATCATACCCTATGTAGAGACAGAGTGGAAAGAGGCAAGGTCAGAAGAGACAACCACAGCCTACCTCTTCTTTCAAATTATTTTATAGTTTTTCTGCTCCTACATACCTGGCAGGATATCATTCGAAATAACAGTCTATGATGCAACACACACATACTAAAGGAGAAAAAGGGGACAGGAAGGTTAACAAATATCCTGAGTTGCCAACTCTAATGGAACGGTTAAATGACCAGCTGACACAGGGACTGAGACACATTCAGGGACAAGGAGTGGCCAAAAGGCCATTAACCTCAGGAGAGCCAAGGGTGGTGGGTGGGTGGGTAGGTGGGCTTGATGTCTGGTTTTGCTACATAGGAGATGCTGATTGGCAGGTGAGATGAGTGAACTCATGCAGAGACACAGCAGGCAGCACTGCCTTCAGGACAGGCATTTCTGCTGTGTGCTTGCATTGGAGCATTCCTTCACTTCTGATGCACACTTGCGATGGATTACCCACATGCAGAAGACTGCCAAAGTAAAGAGACCTGCAGAAAGAGAGAAGACAGCATCCTCTGCAAGTGAGAATGTGGGTCCAATTTGACTAAGTGGCTGCAGCTCTCTCTCCCTGAAGACTCCAGACACAGACAAAACATGTGCTCCATCACTAGGGCAAGGGGTGAGCATTTCCCTTTGCAGCGTGGACTCAAACAGAAACAGAACCTAGGACTTGTGTCCTTAGGCAAACAAGACTTGCTCTTTAGGGCACAGATGGACATATGGAGGACCAGGGCCTTACCTGGCACATGTAACACAGTACACCCATCCCTCCTGTGCCCCTCTGTCAAAAACCACTTGCTGGCCTTAAGTCTTCAGCTGCTATCAGGACATGTTATAGCATGGCTTGAAAAATCCCAGGTGCCAGGTCACTGTGGCACATAGAAATTTCATTATGGCACCTAGGATTTTTTTGTGGTAGCAATAATTCGAAAATATGGTCATACATAACCCTGAATGCTGAAATATGTTTGGCTCCCAAATTTCTAAGATGGATCCTAGAGCCAAAGAAAATTTGTCAAGGCCTGCATTATAGCAACAAGTGAGATGGCAAAAGAAAACAGATGTTCAGCCACCTGTGGGTGCATGGGTTGCAGACCTTACCTGTGCTCCCATCCAAACTTAAGAAAATATTACTGGGAATGGACGAAGATCTTGGATGTATTGGCCACATGCCCTGTTATCCCTCCTGCCTCAGGCAGTGCCTTCCACTAAGACGGCCGAATCTAGTCCCATATATGTAATTCTGTAGCAACTGATATATGGAGATACAGGGTATAAGTGGGCCTGGACAGGAGCAAGACTGTTTGGGTTGCAGCAACAAAGCCTCCTTTCATAGCCCAGGCTACCTATGCATAGAGGTCACTGGGAGTCAGGCAGGTCTGAACAGGCAGGGAGACCACAGCCAGATTGCTCTGTCTTCTTGCTACCCTCTCCTATGTGACTTTTGGTTTCATTTGACTCCAACCAGGGTTGCTAGCCAGTGGGGGGGTACTCTGCACCAATGTTCCCTCTAAGCTGAGTTAGTGTGAGCTAGCTCAGTTTTTTAGCCTCCAGCTCACACATTTTTGTCTTCGCTCAGGAAAGGATGTCTCCAGAGCAAACTAATTTATGCAGTAGCCAAATCGCTCGCTCACAACTTTAATGCCAGTAGCTCACAAAGTAGAATTTTTTGCTCACAAGACTCCACAGCTTAGAGGGAACATTGCTCTGCACCACCAAGAAGATGTCATTTCTGGGGCCAACCTAGTAGTGATGTCACACACTCTAGGATTTCCACAGAGTTTCCACTGAATCCCAGAGCAGTGTGATGGCACTTCTGGGTTCACCCTGGAAATGATTCCCTGATATCAGTGTGGCATTGATTTTGCTTTAGTCTCCCCAACACTGGCCTACTGAGCAGCAGTGGGCATCAGGGGCTGCTGGTGGGAGGTTTCCCACTATAATGGGAAAGCTGGCAACCCTAGCTCCACCAGCTGACTGGCATGACCCTGCCCTTTTCTGGTACCCACACCGGTCCTTCCACACAATATGGTACAGGAAAGAATTGCAACGCTGGATTCTGCTGACATGCTTCTTAGGTAACAGGAAGTGCTCTCAGCTGCAATATGTACCAACCCAACAGCAAGGACTGCAGTAGGCCCACATTCCTACCCCAACAAAGCTAAAGACCGCCCCCTGTACTTGGTCCTTAGACAGGCTAGAAATTTACCCAGGCATCTTCAAAAAACTCATTCCCTAGCAGGCCTGCAGGGGGCACCACTCCATACAACTGCAAAGACTTCGACTTCATTATGGAAAAAGGGAAAAGTCACTTCCTGTGCATGGCTGGAAAGTGCAAAATATGCTAACACCCCACCATTATGTACAATTGCACTGGGGAATGTCTGACCTGCCTTCGCCCATGTACATCTACCCGCTCACTCTGGTCATTCTCAGACATCCTGCTTCAATTGCTCCTGGCATTTGAAGCTAGATGGGGGGGGGGGGCAACCTGAGAAAGGCTCATCTCTGTCATGGCACCAAAGCTTTGAAACTCGCTCCCCAGGGAGATTCATTTGTCTCTGTTGGTGTCTTTAGCCAGCAGGTAAAGACTTTATTGCATCCTGCATACCTCCAATAGCGGTTATTGGCCCTCCTTCTAATGTCATTTGTTGCTGTGTTTTTAAATGAATTATTTTTAGAATTACAATTGCATTTTTAATTGTTTAGTGTTTTTTTATATTTGCTGCCTTGTGGACCCTGACTAGGTGGAAAGGCAGCATAATAATGTTTTAAATAAAATAAACAACCAGTTGTTTATGAAATAAAGAGAGAGTTTTTTCTAATTATATGCAACTGCATTGCTCAGTTAAGGATGCCATGTTTAGTGGACCACATCCAAGTCCATCTGAGTCAGGCCTGTGGCTACAGTGGGGCCTCGTGGGGCCGGCCCCCCTGGCTTACTGCCAAGGCCCCATGACTTCCCACCCAGCACCCTGTTGCCGGGTTTTCATCCACGTTGTGAATCGCAGTGTGGCAATGGCTGCTACGGTAGCGGTGGACAGCACAGCTCCCTCCCCACCTGCCCTGTAACCCCCGACTTTTAAAATACCCCTCGACTTAAAGAATCCTGGCTACACCCCTGATCTGAGTTTAATATCTGGCTGGCAACTGTCCTCAGAAACCTCAAGTACAGCCCAAAGGTGCATGTCCCCCCCCCCCATTTGTATGAAGAAGTATACTGCCAGCATACAAGGGCATTTGTCTAATCCCTTTTTAAAGCCACTCGAGCTGGCAACCGTCACTGCATCTTGTAACAGTGAATTCCGTCAAGTTAAAGTCAAGGAGGAGGAGAGACTTTTAAAAGAAAGGAGACCTGTTCATCCATTAAAGAGCTTTTCACAGCAGGATCAGACAAATTTTGGAGAGAATAAGAGTCAATCTTTATTATTTGCATTTGCAAAGTGCAGTCGGGGGTCGCTGGATTTCAAACGAAGTACAAAAAAGCCAAACCGAGGCAGAAAGAGGGCAGTTGGTTGGGATATTCAGGCTGCTGCTTTCAGGAGCGGTATGTTGTCCACATCGTGGATGCCGTCTTTATCAATAAAGCGGGCATTGAAAGAAGGCAAGTTCAGAATGAAGCGCTTCTGGAGCTGCAGGAGGACAGAGGGAAGATTGGGTCAGTGCTTTTGGAAAGATGCCCAAGAGGTTTGCTTTGCTCCTCTGATCACCCAGTCCTTCTCAGCATCATTTCCTCTGCATGCTAACAGAGATACAGGTAATCCCCCCCCCACTTCAGATTGTTATAGTGTAATCTTGACTGTGGAATTTTATTTCTGCTTCCCGAGAACTATTCTATAAAATTTACTGGGACCTCTTATGGTAAAAAAAACACTGGGTTTGAAGGAAACAGACTCCTGAGCTTACTGCCTCTGGCGAGAGCCAGGAGCCAACACTGCCCTCCACGACTAGGTCTTCCCCAAGTGCTGTGCGCACACAGCCAGTCCTCCCTGTGGCAAACATGGCATATGGTGGCACGTGGGTATCTGTGGGGCCCAGGCCCAAACAGGGCTCCCAAACAGGGGCACATAAGTATTTTGAGACACAGGAACACATTTGCCACATCAGAGAAAATCTGTTTGCCACAGAAGAATGGGGAGCTCCCTTCAGTCCTATGGGGAAGATGCAATCACATCACAGAATGGAGAAATCTAGAAATCTTGGTCCACGGATTATATTTTCATGGGAATTTCTCCACAGAAGGGTGTCCAACTGGGAGACACGTTTTCATCTGTTTTCTATTTAAGAACATAATTGGCCTAAAAAGTAAATTATATACTTTATATTTTTTCTTACAATTTAGATTTTTTAGTCTACTTTCCAATACGTTTCATTAATACAGTTATTTTACCATATACAGGATGGGATCTCTTACTACACAAGGAATTGGCTTCATACTGAATAATGTGCAAGTGGCCTGGAGTGACAGTTTGTGGGAAAGCAGCACAAAAGTGGAATGAGTATTTTAAAAAAGAGAAGGGGAACCAAAAGATGGGGTGTTTCTTATTTTTGGGGTGGGGTGGGGGGAGAAACTTGTGGTCTTTAGATGAGACATAACATATGCAGTTAGTCAACTCTGGGGTAGCAACCCTCCCGTGTCAACTTCAACTCCTACTCCGTGGTTAGGCTGTGATTATAAAGGAACTCAGAGGTAGAGAGTCAATAAGAAGCTCTTTGGTTTACTTCCATCACATTTTGGGATAATCCAATACGTTTAAAAGAAGAGAAAGTTCCATCACAGAGGGAGGTACCAAGTCTCAGTGGCAGATAAAATGTCCCAGGTTCAACGCCTGCTGCCTTCTCTTAGTAGGACCAAGCAGCAGGTGATGTGAAAGATCCCTGCCAGAGACCCTGCGGAGCTGCCGCCAATTGGAACAGGCAACAGTGACTCTGAGAGACCAGAGTGGTTTGGCTCAGTATAAGGCCGCTTCGGGAATTCTTCAACAGCTTGGGCCAGTAGATGCAGATGTCTTTCACAGTGAATGCATCCATGTGGTGACCCCTGAAGGACTGAGAGCAAAGGGGCACAGGGCAAATATATACCATGCTTCCACGTTAGTCAGAACCACTGATTCAGGATTTCAACCCAAACCTACAATCCCAGGAAGGGGGGGGAAATCTTTCCAGTGGGGTAAAGAACATTCAGCTGAGATACTGGAGTAGGGGGGGGGGTTAATGACACACACATCTTTTTGTTCAGACTGACTAATAGAGGTTTCGGAGTGCAAAGAGCATCTCTTCTTTTTTTCTATCTGTATCCCTTACAACCACCTTCGAAGGAAAATCAGCATTCTCTGCGTCATAGTGCAGACTGGGGTGGGACAGGGGTGTTAAAACAGCCTCTTCCCTAGGGAGGGCTTCTGCTTAGGGACGGGGCATCTGCCTGGAACGCAGAAGGTTCAGAGGTTTCCAGGCTCAATCCCTGGCATCGCCAGTTAACAGGATCAGGTAGGAGGTTTTGTGAAAGACCTCTGCCTGAGACCCCAGAGAGCTACTGCCAGTTTGTGTAAACACTACTGACTTTTATGGGCCTATGGTACATTCAGGATAACACGGCTTCAGGTGTATTTTTCCAGTTTGGGGCTGAGGTGGTTTTGTACAAGGAAATCCCAGACCACAGCTCATCCTGTGCCACTGGGCTAAGGGCTGGGGGGGATTTTCACACCTTCCCTTGCCAGACCTATCCCCGTGCTGCTCCTGTGGATCTCAGGGCGATTACTGGGATGCAGCAGGAGCCATTTGTTTGCTGAAACTGCCAGGATCCAGCCCTTGTGATTAATTCAACCTGTGATGGTCTCAAGAAGTGGCCAGTCAAAGGCAGAAAGGAATACAACAGATTATCCAATGGAAGACAAATTGCCTGTTTATCACCTCACCCTTCTGACATGGTACAGTTTTGCATGCATGTTCTGCAAGATCTAAGCCCCCCTTTAACACCTGTTAGTATCACCCTTGGCTTAAAGATTTATGAAGCTAACATAGGAGCCAAGTTATGGTGATGGTCATGGCACAGTTCAGACCCAACAGTGGCTTCTTCTCAAATGCCTCAGAAATAAGTGATGGGCACTGCTTGGCCTGTGGTCTGGCAGTACGTGAACAAGTAGGGTGCATGAAATCACAGTGGATCCATTTGCAACAGGATCAATCACAATGGCTGCATGAGCTGCCCCCCATGCCCATGAAGGTGCCAGTTCTGACAAACAGAAGTTCCACAGGAACCTACCAGGCTGTGCGCCAACAATGCCTGCCCCATCGTCCTTATGGACATCCACCATTAGTTGCAAACTGACATGATGTAAGGATTTCAGTATCTGCCTCAACTATCCTACTTATGATCAAAGACTATGCCACTGGCCAGGAAGAGAAGAAGGAGACAAGTTACAAACATTATGTGGGGGAAAACTAAAAGACATGAAAGCAAATTTAAACATCACAGTTCATAGACTGAAGGGGGAGAAAGATGGGGGGGGGGAATGCTCCAGTAGCCAATTTCACATCTGGCTGCTTTGTATTTATTTCTCCTTCTGGCAAGAATCTTTTGGAGGGGGTGGGGTGGGAGGAAGACAGAGCAGTAGAGGTGGAAGGGGAACTAGCCTGACAAAGGCAACCAAACATCAGTCTTTCCAGCCCAGGAAGGTCACTCACCTCCTCGAGACATTTCTTGAGAATCTCTATGGCCTCTGCACGCGCACGGGGGGGGGGGGGGGGCAGAAAAACAGACATCCACAGACCGCTTTAATTAGCAGCAAAAGACACTCCCTCCCTCCCTCCCCCAGTGCTTCACAAAGTTTGAACAGCTTTTTAGTTGTGCAAAGAAAGGAAACCAGGATCCCTTCCCAGCTCAGAGAAAACTCATTCCACATGTCTGAAGGATCACCTGTGCCCCAGCTCTCCGGCCCACTGAGCCATTGGAAAAAAATCAATTTGTTCCACCGTAACAGGAAGCCCCACGGAATCCTGCCTCCCACAGCCAGGGGGAGCTGGCCACCTCAGCCTCCTCAAGCTTATTAAGGTTTTAAATCAGCTCCATCTGTCCCCAGCCGGCCATGTATTGCTCTAGAGGGCTGGGTTTACAGGGCCACATACATTCCCCACTGGGAGGTCAGTTCTTAACAATGGAAACAGCACGTGTGAGAAGTGCCTCAGTCATTCTCACATTAGAAGCAAAGACTAACCATGCTGGGGACAGCAAACGGGGACAACCCACTGAGAGGGCGGGGGGGGGGCTTAATTGTGCTCTCTCAGATCATTGGGGGAGGGGGGAAATGTGTTTCGGCAGTGAAGAGATGTCTAAGTAGGGCAGAACTAACACAGTCTGCTTCTCTGGGGAGCTGTTGCTTCAACTAATTTCTGAAACAAATATTTGCAGACAGTGTGTGATTTGCCAGAAGGACGAATTTTGCTAGCTCAATTCTGGATGTGCAACTTAAAATTTAGGGTTAAACTTCAGCGTTAAATCTGTACCTCAACATTTGGAATTAAGAGCATTTTGAGCACGGTTGGCATCTTATGAAAGTTCACAGCCAAAAGCTGCAAATCCCCGAAGCTGCCTTGGAGAACCCGAAGTTGGGTGGAAAGGCAGCAAACAAATGTTTTAAATAAAAGTAATTAATTAATTAAATGTGTCAAATGTCAAGTATTACTACAGGTCAACCAAACAGTGTTAGATACTTAATACCATGACATGTTAACTATCAACCAGTGTCCAATACAGACATCACAGTGTGCTAAATATTGCTACCAAAATGTTCAGTAACTCAACGTTATTTCGAGGAGCAGACACATGCGCACCCAAGTCTGGCAGAATGTTATCAACCGAGCATGAACCGCCAGCGAAGCCATACAAATCAGAACGAGACCACGTGTAGTTTGTGGCATTTGCAAGCTCGTCACAAAACAGAAGCTGGGGCTGGGGCACTGAGAAAATCTGAGCATCTTCGGTTTCTCTTTCTCAAGCAAAATTCTAAGTCTTGTGAACGCTTTTAAGTGTTGGCAAGGACTCGGACAGAGATCAAGAATGGCATTTAGTGGTTAGTGTGATGTGTTTGTATCTTTCAGTAGGTAGTTTTCCATTATAGTGGAATGTATTTAACCTGATGCGATGGGGAGGGTCGGCTGATGTTGTTCTCTGCCCTCAGTTTCTGGCGTCTCCTTCTACCAAATACAGCTGTTCCATAAACAACAACTGGGTGGTGTCGTTCAATGGATGAGGCATATTGCCCAAGAACATTACAGTTAGGAAGCTCTGTCTGACACAGCGATCCCCAACCTTGTGCCCATGGGCAACATGGCACCCACCAATAGGTTTTCTAGAGCCCATCTGCTTCTTTCCCAAAGCATCTCTTCCCGCACGCCAGTCCTGGCTTTCCTCCAACTCACTGGAGTATAGATCTCAGGAACAGGATTCATAGCAGGAGGATGCTTGCCTTGCAGACTACCAACATTTTGCAGTCCGCCACAGTCCTCATTGGTCGCCATTTTGTGGTGGAACCCATTCCCTGTTTTCACAATCCTGCCCATGCCTGCAGGTTCAGCCAGTCTGGAGACCATTGGGCTATTCTCCTAGCCAAGTTGGTCTGAAAGTTCTTGCTGCTCTAAGAAAATATTTTTAAAAGTCTTGCTTAGCAGCTATGACGGACCCCGTCTACTTCCCTCCCTTAGAGGCAAGATTTTCCCTCCATTTTTCTTTTGTGTCCCTTCAGTGTATTCTTCTCTATAAAGTAGCTTTGGCAGTCCCACCCTGTGTCAGTAAAATGTAAGGGCTAGTTTCTCAGCCCGGGACCTGAGGGAAGGGTTATGATTTCCCTTTAATTTAAATGACAGAAAATGGCACTTGAGACGTGTTTAACATTCAAAAATAACAGAAGGTTTTATTTAACATCAAGGGGAAAGGTTAGGTGAAGTCAGGGCTTGAAAATGCTGAAGTAAAATAGAATAAGCATAGTCTCTTATTTTTAAATAAGTGAGAGTTCCATGAATTATTCACAGTTATTATAGTTATTTAGTTTGAGAGGCTTTTGTTTCTGGGTTTTCCCAAACCACTCCAGCTCACAAAAGAGTCTGCTGTTATACAAATAGACTCTTTTGGTGCCCAGAAGACTGGTACCCTCTTCCCAGTACCTTCTCTTGGAACACCAGAAACCTTGAGTTGTTAATTGACTTTTAAGACTCCACAAGTAGTTTCCAATCACACTAGACCAGGGAATTTCTACTCAGAGACCCTGTTTAACTGGGTAGGGATTCTTCTTCTCTCCCTAGAAGATTTATCCCCTTTTCCTTTGGCCTGAATGGGAGACTTCTTATGCTACCCAACCCTCCTTGCCAAACTTTCCCCCAGTCTGCTGTCAAGTGTTCAAAACTGCCCTCAGCTAATGCTAAATTAAGACTATATTGAATCAGAGGTGAATTCTGACTTGGTCAGCACTAAAACCTTGTCTGGCAGGGCTAGTCTAAGACGATTTTGTCACAGTTAAGGCAGGAATCTGAATCTGTTCTCCTCAGCATCCAGTTCTCACAAGACTTTTTTTGCTCAACTGATGCCAGCCAATCAGATTGCCTGGAGCAGCCTGTCACACAAGGCTCTTCTGCTCTGTAAAGTATTAACCCTTCACAATCCTGTAGGTTTATGCACAGCACTTTTAAGCAGAGAGCCAGTTTGGTGTAGTGGTTAAGTGTGCGGACTCTAATCTGGGAGAACCGGGTTTGATTCCCCACTCCTCCACTTGCTCCTGCTGATGTGACTTTGGGTCAGTCACAAGCTCTGGCACAGCTGTTCCTGAAAGAGCAGTTTGTGTCAGAGTTCTCTCAGTCCCACCCACCTCACAGGGTGTCTGTTGTGGGGAGGGGAAGGGAAAGGAGTTTGTAAGCCGCTTTGAGACTCGAAGTGAAGGTCGGGGTATAAATCCAATCTCCTCCTCCTCCTCTTCCTCTTCCTCCATAAAAAGAGCCGTCCATCACAGCAGTATATTACTACTAGGAAAAAGGCCCATTGTGCAAATAAATACAACGGCCTCTAGAAAGAGGCTCTGGGCGGGTGCCCCGGCCTTGGACACTCAGTGTCAATTTGCTGTGGCAACCTCAGCAGGGTATAATGACACTGAGTCCACCATTTTCTCCAGAGGAACTGATCTCTGCTACCTAAAGAACAGTTGTAATTTTGAGTGATCTTCAGCCCTCACCTGGAGATTGGCAACAATGGTTCCCCAGAGGGAATGGTTGGTTTGGAGGGTGGAGTCTATGGCTTTGTACCTGTCTGAGGCTCCACGCCTCCTGAAACCTCACCCTCTCTAGGCTCCATCCCTCACATCTCCAGGAATTTTCCACCTGGAGATGGCAACCCTATCTCCTTCCCAGCCAATCATCAACCTACCTTTATTTCCCCCCTCACTCTTCAGCTTTCCACCCCCCACACACCTGCAGCCTCTCCCGTGCTCTGAAGCCCTGACTGCTACGCCACATTGGCTGTCATACGGAGGCCACCTCAGCAGCATATAAGGATACCGAGCCCACCATTTTCTCCAGGGGAACTGATCTCTGCCATCTGGAAAGCAGTTGTAATTCTGAGTGATCTCCAGCCCTCACCTGGAGATTGGACACATTTTACCTCAGAATAGCAAACTGTTTAGAATGTTAGAGGCAAAAGCCAATCAAGTCGCATATGCAAACGACCTCTGTGTTCCGAGGCAAAGGCCAATGAAGCTGCATATGTAAATAACCTCTGTGTTCTGACTGGCTATGGGGGGGAGAGGAACAGCAAAATGTTTAGAATGTTGGAGGCAGGACTCAGGCAAAGCAGCCAGTGGATAGGGAGACCCTCTGAATGACAGATCAGAGAGCGAACTGATTTTGAAGCGTGTGGAATGTTCTAGAGAAGTGCCACCACCATTCGGCTTTTATTTATAAGGGAGATATGTTGATCACTATAACAGTTGCAGAATAAATGCTCAAGAACCAACCATTTTAGTTTCAGCAACTTACACCACAGCGCTCCACGTGAACCTCAACTGAACATTACCCCTAGATTCCTGGGCACCATTCCAACCCCCCCTTCCCTGACATGCATACATCGAAGACATGGCTCAGCCCCAAATCACAAGTAGCAGTTGTTCCCTGAAGGCCCTCTGGCACCACCTTCTAGCTGCCGTGGTTGCCTCAATAGCTGGGCCCAGCCCTGCCATTTGTAATGGCTGCCTTGTCCAGTATTCAGGGCACACACACAGAGTATGTGTAACAAAAAAAAAGCCTGCATTGAGAACATCTGACTCTTGTGTTGCAGTATGCATCTTTTAGTTCCAAGGACCAACAAAGTCAGGCTCAGCTTGTGAAGGCTCAGCTCCACATACCGTGTTTCCCCGAAAATAAGACACTGTCTTATATTTATTTTTTCTCAAGAAGACACACAAGGGCTTATACCACAAATGCATAGCAATCCTGCTAGGGCTAATTTTTGGGGTAGGTCTTATTTTCGGGGAAACAGGGTACAACCCTCTCCCTGTCTGCCGAAATCTTCCTTGCTCTTCTCATTCAGATTATACTTATTTACTTCATTTACACCCGGCCTTTCTCCCCAATGGGGACTCAAAGCAGCTTACACCATTCTCTCTGCCTCCACGTTATCCTCACAACAACCCTTGTGAGGTAGGTTAGGCTGAGAGTGTGCCCAAGGTCACCCAACTAGCTTCCATGGCAAAGCAGAGATCTGAACCAGGACTCCTAGATCACAGTATAACATTTTAACCACTACACTTGCTCTCTATATCAATATCTCTGTACCTCTATCAATCCACCAGACACTACGTTCCCCTTGCCTGGAAAATGTCAGTAAGTCATGCCACTTCGTTGAGAGGAGAAGCTCATGTGTGGCTACTGCCACCAGCTTGGGACTTACTTGGTTTGTAGTAGCGGTCAAGGATGCTGAGCGTTAGGAAGGCTCCATAACCATGGGCTGCAAAGGGAGCTTTGGCCAAAGAGGCGAGGTAATCCATGTAGTAGAGGGCAGGCCCGTCTTGCTCATCGTAGCCTGCCAGGAGGAGGTTGACGTGATAAGGGGTCTGCAAAAAAGAAAGGGGGGGGGGAGACCCAATTCAGAGCACCAGTATGGACACATCAACAGGTAGGAAATCAGAGCACTGTCCCATTGTACCATTTGGGGCACTCAGCCAAAGTTAGAACACAAACTGTAGCGACTTAGTACCCAGCTTACATATTACATTGCACACACAAACACACGCACACACACAAACACACGTATATATTCCTTAAAGACATTTAAACCAATGAGTAACAGCAATATCTGCTGTTACTCATCTCTCTGCAGTCATCAGAATGCTAATTGTGTGTTTATGAAGGCTCAGCACCTGCCTTTAATTAGAAAAATGCAGAAAGAAGAATAAATTAGCCAGGCAGACTGACAAGGGCATCAACACACAAAAATGCAAGCAAAAAAGAAAACTCAAAGCAACCCTCTCCCCATCAAGTCAAGCACATCCTAGCATCATCTTCATGATGGATCTTAAACTGTTTGGAATACAATTTTGTCCAAAGAGAGGTACAATAAATCAATATCCTGGTGTGTGTACAGAGGGCAGAATTCAGTCCATACAGAATCTCAGGTCTTTCTTTGTATTAAGTCCTTATGAATCATGACTTTATACTGAGAAAAGTATGTGGGTGATGTCTGGTAAAGATCCAGAAGTAAGTAGGGTTGCTAATTCCAGCTTGGGAAATTCCTGGAGATTTGGTGATGGTGCTTGGGGAGGGTGATTCAACACTGCCCTTTCCTCCAGGAGAACAGCTCTGTAGTCTGGAGATCAGTTGTAATTCTTGGGAGAATTCCAGGCCCCACCAAGAGATTGGCTGTCCTAGAAAGAAGGGGAGTGGGGTATCTGAATTAAGATTACCAGTGGCCAAAGAGAAGGACTTCAGTCTCCTCTACTATGACCTCACTGCCCTCCAGGCTAATAAGCTGAGTAAACCCTTCAAAATATTAAGAGCTGCAGCACAGCATGCAAATTAGATTCATCTGCCTTAGTGCCGTAATACACAGCCCAGATGTTAGGTTTGTGGACATGAACACTTTTGCTCATCAGGCTCAGAAAGCAAATGCACATCTAGAAGAGCCTTAAACTCAAGTATGAAGCTGTTTGGTGATATTTTGGTTGATCCTAACAAAAAGGAATTACAGGACTGTTGCTTTTGTAAGTCCATTATTCTGTGAGCGACACTTATGCCTGAACTTTGTTAATGTACAAGCCACCTATAAAACCTTCTAAACACAAATATTAGCAACTCTAAGTTCTTTAGGCCATTTTGTGACCTAAAAGACGTTCCATGGACAACCTCAGACTCATATATGGAATCAATCAAATTAGAATACTGGCAGCCAACAGGGATGTACATCCATTTATCTACTAATAAAATTAAACTACACTCCCTTTTGTTGTGCTGTCATGAGGATGAAAACAATATCCGTTAATAGTAGTTACTCCAATGCTTGACCAGATTTACAGGGAAAAGATGGTGGGCAGGTGATAATTAAACAGACAGGAACCCTTCCCACCAGTAGAGTGAAACTGATCTTGCAACAGAAGATATTTTTCCTTGGATAGGGTTTTCTTCATTCTATCACACTACTGTCATTGAGATGGTGCATTTGTAAGTTCTGGAGCTTTTGCACATCACATAGTGTGTGTGTGAGAGAATGACTGATTTGCTATTTTTGCTAGCAAGAGAGTGTTGCTGCTTAATTAGAGCAAGGTTTTCCCTTATTTCCTTAAGTTTTAATGCAAGCGCGACTGTCAATTTTGTACTCTGACCGCAAGTGAGTTAGTATCACGACCTTGGGCACTGCAGCAATTATGGGCACACACATTGACAAACTATGTGTTAGATGCTGCAGTGAGCACACAGAGTGATTTCCACTAAGTGCTTTTGCACTCGCTACCAGTACAGTGAGCAAGAGGTGGGGAGCTGTGCCTAAGACCCAAAGCAGGAATTGTGGCAGAGCCATCATCTCTGCCTTTCTTGGGATGCCAAGGCCAAACCCCCTACTGTGCCCCTTTGCAACTCTGCCAGCCTTTCTTAGAGCGCCAAATGTCTCCTTGCCTCTACTTTGTGAGAGATGTTGTAATTGCCTATAAAGTCAGGCAGAAAAGATCCTTTGGGTGAAGGATAGTACCCTTGAAAAGTTAAAGCCAAATAGAGCTGGGAAGTGGGGGGAGGTTACAGCTTCACTGCATAAATGTCCAGTGAAATGAAAACAAAGAAATACAGATGCAGTAATGAAACAAATCCAAAAGAAACAAAAAACATTTGCAAAACAAAGCCAAAACTGGCACTCCTAAACCAGGGTACCCCAAATCCACTGAAGTCTGAATGTACTTCACTCCAGGGGCACACTGCAGCATATTTTTATTTCTTTTATAAATTTACAAGTTGCTCTTCAGCTCAAAACCTGCAAAACGGGTTACAAAAAAAGTATATTAAAAAAAACCCTTATTCTGTACAGATTACTCTTGGTTAGTATTACTGCTTCTCAACAGCCTCGTGTGGAATGGGTCCCTGTTCCAACAGCCGGGAAGGTCCTGTCTATTCAAGTTGTCTGGAAACCACTTGTACTTTCTTCAGCAGACACAACCTAGCATCCTGACTGCACCCACCATGGTCTTGCAGTCATTCTGAGCTGGGGAACATATAGCAACACACTGTTGGACATGCAGGCCCAATTCTATACCCCTGCCAACACCTTCTGCCCAGGGATGCTATGAGGTATCCACCCTGCAGGCTGGCCATTTGGAACATAGAATGATTGGCCAGGTTTTCTTTCTTTACAGATGGATTGCAGAAGTTGTTTTGAATCCCTACTGTGTCCACAAACTCACTTTGAAGTGCAGGTGTTCATGTGCATGTGTGGCAACCAAGTCAAGCCAAGTGGTTCTGAGCAGGCAGACTGCTGAAAAGAGATCAACCCCCTTCCCATGCATGCATGGAGTGGGGATTTTTATTTCGTGAAATTTCTTAGACACAGGGTGCATGTTACATCCCTCAAGTGAGAAGTAGCACTGCCCAAGCTGACCTGAGGATTGTGAAGCTCCCCCAGAAAAGGGACAGGCAGAGAAAGCTAGGAGGGACCACAGGCAAAGACACAGGGACTCTGGCAGAGATCCTGTGTGCTACTTCCCTGTCATCCCTTTCTTACCTCTTCTGTAAAAGCTAACTGTCTCTTCGGGTTGAGAGGTGGGTAAAAATGAAAAACAAAACCATAAGTGGAGATGGAAGAGGAATAGAGGAAAGCTTCCAGGGGCTCTACAATTCCTTCCAGCTGCCAGGGAAGCCTTATGAATTCTCAGAATTACGTGTCCTATCTTTTGGGCAGAGAAGCAACTGGGAGGGCAATTTTGAGCAGGGAAATAGACAGCAAGGAAAGGGTTAATCTCCCCGCCCTGTAGTGAATATCTCAGCACTTTGTGCTTTTGACAACGTACTCGCCCCAATGGTACAACCCCCCCAACCCCCCCCCCCCAAACCACCCCCCCCCCCAAACACATCCATTCCACTCCAGCTTCCAAACCCTGGCACCCTCATACTACAAGCTACAGACACCCTACATCCAAGAGAGAAAGAAGAAATATTGGATCCAAGCCAAACAGCTCAGCAGATGATTACTAATAAATCTGATTAATAAATAGATAAATAAATAATACATAATAATTACTGATTTTTAGTAATAATTTAGGGTTTCCCCATGCAAGCTGAAAACTAGACAGTGACCAGGAGTCATTGTCATTATAGTCTGGGGTAATTTTATTCCAGTTCCCTTAGAACACACTGAACACTTAACAGAAGTGTTAACAGTAAACTTCTACAGAAGATTGGGGGGGGGGGATCCATAAGAATGTCAGAAAAGCTTCTGAAATTACAAGTTGCTCCCCAGCTCAGACTTAATTAGCTCATGTAACACCCCCTTATTTACGCCTAGGCATCTTGCACATATAGAAACTGGCAAATCGAAGCCGCGCTGTAATTGGAGAGTCAGATTCTGTGCCACAAATGGGGCTCAGCAACAGCAACTTTTGTCTGCATGTGTGTCAGATGTCAAAGCATACATACATAAATGATGTGCAAACTAATTAGACTAGGACAGCTGTGTAACAACTTGGCACAGTCGATCGCAGAAGACATTTCAAGCCCTCCTCTTGATGATGCTGTTCTTCCAATTCCACACTGCTTTTCAGGAGTGTGCTTTTGCAAGTATGGAATGACACATTACAAGAAATACAAGGCTGCTGCCAAAAACAGGGCAGAGCTTTCCTCTGCCATAAGAGTATCGCTTAACTTATTCAGCATCCCATAGGACCTGTGCTGGGTATTTCACCATTTCTGTTAGTGAAACACCATGCACACAAAATCAGTAATGGGAGGTTGGGGGTGACAGTGTGACCTCTGGCAGAAGCCAAAGTCACAGGGAAGGGGGGAGGGGAGGGGAGGAGACACAATGGGCAAGAGGAAGGCATCCCACCAGGCATGGACAGCAGGAGAGGAACTCACAGGCTCCCTCTGGACACAGGCCAGGTAGTGTCACCTATAATTAAATGTATCTTAAGGAGCTGCATTTTACTGAGGGGAGAGAAAGCATGTGCTCGTGGGGGGACAGGATGCTGCAGTTCAGAGCACAAACATAGCCGCCTTCAAGCTCCTAGCAGGTGTATCCAAGAGAGGGGTCCACTGAAAGGATCCAGCAACCCCAGGACACTATCGAAACCATAGCATTCTCAGAAGCAGCTGAACTGGGCCTTGGGCATGGATCTTTCAGCCCAGGCACAAAGCAGATCCACACAACCACTCAGGTTATTGTCATTCTGTGACTGGCTGCTAAGTGGGGGAAGCCAAAAGATCATTCATTCATTCATTCATTCATTCATTCATTCATTTGATTTATACCCTGCCCTCCCTGCCGAAGCAGGCTCAGAGCAGCTTACATAAAAATTAAAACAGATAAAAGAGAACATTTATAAAACCATTAATAAAGTGCTAGTGTACAATATTGCATAAG